AAACGGCTTGAATTCTCTGAACTTTGGTCAGGGTGGAGTGGATCCACCTCTATGGGCCATCTTAATGTTCAAAACACCAAGTAACCATACCCTACGTCAGGATACCTTGTTTGTAGCCACACCTGTTGTAAACAACTTTAAAAGATTAAAAATAAGGTCAAACTCTCTGACCTTTAGTCAAGGTGGAACAGGACTCACATCTGTGGACCCCCACAGACTGATCCTGTCAGGGTTTTCTGGAGGAGTGGGGAAGACATTGGCACTTTGGCCTAGAAAAGGGGTTGAATGCTGTCAGGAGAGTTTAGAGAGTTCTATAAGACTTTAGTGCTGAGAAAAGTGCAGATGGTGGATTCAGAGAGAAGCAAAGACTTTAAGAAAGATTGGATTAGAGACCAATGTTGTGATATTTTGGCAAAGAATTGGTTGCTTTCTGCCCACGACCTAAGAACTTGCCCAAGGTTAAACTAGCAAGTAGTAGGCTAATTTCTTTGACAAGAGAAATTCAAGGCAGCACAATATCAAAACTTTAGAATAGTTATTACTAATCATTCTTATTCAGGTCTACAATTTAAAAAAGAACAAATAGAAAGGAAAGAAATGCAAATTTTCAGATTGGGGAAAAAATAGCAAGAGCAAGTTTTGTTGAAATAGGTGCGGCGACGGGGCTGCGTCCCCAACACCCCGGCCGCTTGGCTAGCTCATGCCCGAAATAACAACACACAAACTGTATTCATTTAAAGAACTGCTTGGCCCATACTCTCGAACCCTTACAGGCTAATTCTCGCCCCTGGACTAGCCCATTTCTAATAATGCGTGTAAGCACCCCGAGGTGCGCTTACCGGAAAGATTCTAGCCTAAGTCCATCGTGGGTTGCAGCTGCCTGGGAGAGCTGAGCATGGCATCTCTGCTCCAGCAGAGCTGTCGGGTCTCTCCGGGAGCAGAGCAGAGTCTGACCTCACTTCCTCTTCCGCCCAGAATTCTATTCTGTTTCCTCCTCCCATCTATGCTCTAAGCTAAGGGCCAGCCAAGCAGTTTCTTTTATTGCTCAGCCAATGAAATCAACAGATTGATATATGACACTCCCACATCAAAGTTTAATGTTAAAGCTAAAGCAGGCACTAGAAGAGAGGCTGCCATTGCCCAGATTAGTGTCAAGGAAAAGCCTGTTCTGCACTGGAATAAAGGGAGGGTGTCCTCAGGGTGGGAACACACCCAGCTAAGCTTTCAACTTGTGAAAGAGAGCCTAAGGTGGTTTCTGATCCTAGAAAGTGTCTGGAAACAAGTGTGGGTGCTCATGGTTTAAGGGGACCAGGCCCCATGCCCCGCTGGCAGCCAAACTTGACAGTGTTATCTATGTGGATCTGATGTAAGAGTGAAGTGGTCATGGGCTCATCCTCCACTGTTGCAGAGATCCTCGAAGGCCAAGGACTGTGTGGTAGGGAATCCCTGCACAAAGTCCCTGAGAGGCCATTGCAAGAAGCTGTGAAAGTGAAGCCTGGGTTGCCACAGAGACCCCTAAGATTCTAGAGATGCCAGAGCTATGAGATACCTGCCAAGGAGAGCTGTATACAGGGAGTGGAACCAGTCCAAGAAAGAGGTACGTTGTAGACAGTAACGCTGAGGGTATGTTATCACAGCAACAGAAAGGTCACTAATACAGGGTAAGAATGAAATTAAGGGGCTGCAGAACTGGCTCAGTTGGTAAGATACTGGCTGCTCTTCCAGAGGACCTAGACTTGATTCCCAGCATGCACAGGGTGGCTCACAATCACAGGGTAGTCCCAGGGGATCTAGTGCTCTCTTCTGGACTCCAAGGGTACCAAGAAGGCCTGTGGTACACAGACATACACTCATACATGTAAAATAAAAATTAATAATTTTTTAAAAAAAGAATGGAATGAAGAAGAAGTTGGGATGAAGTTATCTGGTTTCAATTTTTGGAAAGGACTTGAAGAAGGGAAAACAAGAAGTCTTTTGCCATCATAGATGAGAGCAGAGGTAGTGTTCCCATCAACCAAAAGGCTAAACCAACCTAACCATTCATCAATGGATGAATGAAGGAAATGTGGTATTCATAGGCTCCATTGTATAATGGTTACCATGCTAGATTGGAAATGTGGTCGGTCCATATAATGGAATGCTATTCAGCTATAACAGGAATGAAATACATGCTCCAACACCAGTGAACCTTGAAAACATTGTTCCAAATTAAAGAGTCCAATCACAAAAGGCTACATAACACATGATCCATTGATAGGAAACATAGAAGAAGGAAGTGGAAAGATGATCCTCAGTGGCTGGAGGAGGAGGGAACAGAGAGTTGTTTGCAGCATGAGCAGTTTGCCGGGCCTAATTTGGAGGGGCAAAATAGTTTTGGAATTTTATAGAACTGGCTGCACAAAACTCTGAATAAACTAAAGCCACTGAATTGCTCACTTAAGGTATGAACATTATGACTATCCTCAGACAAAAGGTATGTGCTAGGAAAATTGTAAGTGTGATATATCCCAGTTCTTACTTATTGAAAGGCCAGTGTTTCCTCAAACTGCATCAACTTGGCAATGTAGACCGAGTGATGACTTATGCTAAGGCAACAAATGAATGAAGTCTAATAAAGCACTTTTGATAACTTGTAAATTTTTTATGAGACGTGAAAGCATGGTTGTATTTATTTGTAGATTGAAATTGGTTTGATTGCAAATGAAAAAGGACTTGAAATCAGAATTATTAAGTTCTGGGTTGTATGTTCTCAGGGAGATGTTCATAGCCCTCATGGTTCCCTATCCTAAAAGGTTTCTGCTTCCCTCACTCTGGTTGTTTAAATGAGAACGGCTCCCATAGGCTTATATATTTGAATGTTTAGACCCTAGGTGTTGAACCTGTTTGGGGATTGGGAGGTGTGGCCTTGTGAAAGGAGGTGTGCCACTGGCAGGGGGCTTTGAGGTTTCAAAAGTCCATGGCAGGCCCAGCCGCTCACATTCTCACTCTCAGTTACTGCTCCAGTGCCATGCCTGACAGCCTGCTGCCACATTTCCCATCAGGATATTCATGGACCAACTCTGAAACCATAAACAAGCCTCCAGTTAAATGATTTCTCTCATAAGCTGCCTTGGTCATGGTATCTGTTCACAGCAATAGAACAGTAACTAAGACACTCAGCATGCTGACCCTCTCTAAATGTCCTGTAGGTCTGTTGCAATATGGGAGTCAGAGGTGGAGAAGCCAGCTTCATCTTGCTCAGCACCCACCAGTTTTCCCTTTCTTTTAATTTATTCAACTCCTGCTTAAGATACATATGTATATGTATGTGTACATGCTTGTGGTGTGGGAGGTCCTTCTGTCTATGTGTTACTTTTATTGGTTAATGAATAAAGAAACTGTCTTGGCCTGTGATAGGGCAAAAGTACAGAGCTAGGTGAGGAAAACTAAAGTGAATGCTGGGAGAAAGGAGGCAAGGTCAGAGAGAAGCCATGTAGTCCCACTGGAGCCAGAAGGAACTTTACCCACTAAGCCACTCCCACAAGTTCCTACTCCACAGAAACGCTATCGGATCTTCTGGGCCTAGCAGCTGAAGGCTGATGTTGTCCTGAGACCTCTGCCCTCAATGATCAGGGAGGACCCCGAGGTAGCTAGCTGTCTAGGTAACCAGGAAGTAAGTGTTTGCCATTTTTAACAGCTGACTCAGGTAACATGTATCCTTCTCGGAACTCTGATGGAACTCTGACGCTCTTTGACAACTAGGCTATTGATAGCTTTCTCAGTTTCACAGCAGGAACCAAGGCTTCAGCTGCCTTCTCAGTTCTCTGTGTAGAAATCAGATCCCAGGACTCTAGAGCTAATACTAAGTCTAGACCCAATTTACCTCCTTATCAGACTCAAAAAAAGAGAAACTTTCAAAGCAGACTTCAGTGTAACTTCTACCATTCCTTTATTTAAAGGAACTAGCTTTGCAGTGACCGCTCTCAGTGGTCAGCCCCCTGCGGCCTCCTGGAAAATCACAGACAGCCGGTGCTTTAAGGCTGGCTTATGTGAAGCTGGGAAAACTTGAGTGGGACGAGGAGAGAGTGATCTGAGATGTATAAAAGGATGAGACATGGGGCTGGAGAGATGGCTCAGAGGTTAAGAGCATTGCCTGCTCTTCCAAAGGTCCTGAGTTCAATTCCCAGCAACCACATGGTGGCTCACAACCATCTGTAATGAGGTCTGGTGCCCTCTTCTGGCCTGCACCACAGACAGAATATTGTATACAAAATAAATAAATAAATAAATAAATATTAAAAAAAAAAAAAGGATGAGACATGTTCCGAATTCCTCTCTCTCGCCATGTTACTGCCCATAACTTTAACATAACAGATAGGATTCTGATAAGCTATTGATCTAGCTCTAGCAGAGTACTGAACACAATACTCCACCATTATATTATCATAGCCGCAAGCTCAGGATTTTCAACTCCTTTGAGTTGCTTCTTAATGTGTCTAAAATTTATATCTTTTTATAAACTCAAAAACCTCTTGTGAGCGCCAGAGAGCTGACTTGGAGCCTGAACAGGATATATGCTCCAGATAAGTACTGACGATCAACAGCCAAAGCCTCCCCCACCTTTCCCTGGTCTTGGAACTCCCCTCCCTCAAGTACCAGGACCTAAGGGAAAAAAATTCTCCTAAACTTAACTTTATCTTCTACTCTGCTGACATCTTGCCAGGTCCAAGTGGCACCGGATGGTCTCACAGAGCCTGGACAGCAAACTGAAACAGTCAGCTACTCCTGGACTTGGCTAGCACCCCAGCTTTCTCAAATCCCCCAAAGATTCTGACGCTCCAAGGTCAGCAGGAAGCAGTTTTGAGAACACAATGCCCACATTCCTACCTCACCTGCTATCTCCTTTTAACTTCTCACCTTTTTATGCTCAAGGAAAGGGAGGAATGTTAGCATTCAGGCTGGCCTGCCCCTTGGGGACCTGATAGGATGTGTCATCCCTGTGCAAATGCGCTGGTCAGTCCTCAGACAGTTACACTGGCCTGCTCAGAGTCCCAACAATGTCATCTGCTATGTTTAAGTAGAGTCCCTGGACACATGTGCTAAGTCCCTTCATAAAAGGTCAGCTTGGCCTCCTGCCTCCCCTCTCTCTTCTCTCCTCAACTCTTGTCTCCAGAGGCCACACTCTGCGTCTCTACCTCCCTCTCCCCCAATAAACTCTCCACGTGAGCTCTATAGCCTGGCATGGGTCTCTCTCTCTCCCGCCATTTTTAAATTATAACACTGACTGCCTTATTAATAGAGTTAAGCTATAGTAGCCAAGTTCCCATGAAGGAGACTAACACTCTGAGGGGCAGTCTGTAACCAAAGTGGAATGTGTGTGGAAGGCTGAGCTTGGAGAAGGAGGAAGTCTCCGGGATAACATCCAAGCCAGAACAACGAATTACTTTCCTGATTTGTGAATTTATTTACATGAAATAATTCGAAAGGCATGAGTTGCTCCCCACTTACTTGAGATTACGGTTGTCACAGAAACACTCTTCTGTTAGATCACTAGGCTGTTAACATCTGAGCATTTTTCTTTTGAATGTATTTCTCTAGGAGGGGAAGGAGGTTTCAGCTTAACACATGGATTCTGCTGTAGACAGAGAAAAAAGTATTTGACATTCTGCCCCTGATTAAGCATCTTGCTTTTGTTTCAAGCCGCAAACACAGGAATAAAAAAGAACACTTAGCCAGAAACCGAGTCCTGCTGGGCTAGTGGGAGTATGAGCACACAGTGTCAAGCTACTGACTCTCTACCCAGTCTCCTCCCTTCCCACAGCATTCCTTTGTAGGGAGACGCGGGGTTCAGTGGAAACCAAAGCACAGTCTGCCCTTGGTCTACTTAGGGGGCAGCATTGTTGACACACACTCCCACTGTGTGAGTCAGCGGAGGGAGGGGCGGGAGCCTGAGGGAGCAGCAGGTCAGTGTTTGTGAGAACTCAGAATAGCTGAGCACCGCTCAGTATTTTTAGATGGGTGTAGTTAATACCAAGAGTACAAGTTCCTCAAAAAAAAAAAAAAAAAAACTAAAACAGAAACAAACAAACAAACAAAAAAAGAGTACAAATTCAGGTACTTCTTCTGTCGAGAAGGAGACAGATGGGGACAACAGAAGGTAGAGACCTAAGTCAAAGTAGGTGACAGACTTAAAAGGAAGACATGAAATTTCTGAAGCCGCTAAATAGATAAATCTATTTTATCCAAATGACTTGTTTTGCGGCACTGCAGGTGGTAGTGTGTGTGTGTGTGTGTGTGTGTGTGTGTGTGTGTTGTGCGTGCGCCACAGCACACGTGTAGACGTCAGAGAACAACTTTTGGAAGTTGTTTCTCACCTTCCAGGTCTGCTTCTGCTGCTGTGTGTATTCCCAGCTAGTGTCCCTGGCTCCCAGCTCTCTGTAGGAGTGCTGGAACGGCAGGCATTTGCCACTGAGTTGCTTTTGTTGCTATTATTAATTTAATGTGTGTCTGTGTATGTCTGTTTGTCCTCACCCACATGTGAATGTCAGAGACAACTTACAGAAATCAGTTTGGTTCTCTCCTTCCTTCTACCACGTGGGATCCTGGGATCAAACTCAAGTTGGCATGCTTGCCTGGAAAGGGAGCCATCCTGCCAGCCCCATAAACTAGATTCGGGATCTTAGAAGCTCTACTAGGCTCTCACACGTGTACACACACACAGGCTTTCACGTGCATGTGTATAGATACACATATACACACTAAATAATATTTGTTAAATTCTCCCCCCCCAATACAGTGTTCTATAGGACAGGTAGAAGACAAGGGTCAATACATAAAATGCTTGCCCAGAGTGAGGGCTGGAGTTTGGGAGCCCAGCAGCCACACAGGAACCAGGCTGGCATGACAGCCACCAGTGGTCCCAGAGTTCAGGAGGCAGAGACAGAGGGTGATCTGGGCCAGCTAGCCAAACAGGTAGCTCTTGGTTCACTAGGAAACCCTGACTCTACAAAGGTAGGTGGAGAACAATTAAGGAAGGCATCCACCTCTGGTCTTCATGCATATACCTTCACATATGCACACGGACACGCCCGCCCCATACCCCACACATACCATGCACAAATGCACACACTAGAAAAGAAAGTCTTCCACAAGCAATGCTGAAGGAGTAGGGGCAGAGCACACTGGCGAAATGGGTTCCTGATCAAGTGAACTAAAACATCACACGAACTGTTGCAACTCAATGTGTAAGAAACCAACTCAATTAAAAGTGGGCAAAGGATTAAGCAGACCCCTCAGCAAAGCTTTACTGGTGGAAAATGAGAGGATGGAAAGGGTGTTTTGAATCTTAGTTATTAGAGAACTGCACAGTAGAAGAATGAGAAGACACCTCTCTCTCTCTCTCTCTCTCTCTCTCTCTCTCTCTCTCTCTCTCTCTCTCTCTCTCTCTCTCTCTCTCTCTCTCTCTCTTTCTCTCTCTCTGCAGTTTAGAGCCAAAACATGGACAACAAGCACCACTGGCAAGAATGGAGAGCGAGAACTCTGACTCACTGTCTTGGGAAGGCAAAAATGATACAGGCCCTTTGGAAGGCATCTCGACTGTTTCTTACAAAGCTAAAGATAACCTGGCCATATGATTCCACAACTACATTTCTTGGTATTTATTCAAATGGATCGAAAACTTATTTCTACTCCCCCCCGCCCCCACACGCACACACACATTGTCCAAAGGTATTTCAGCAGTTTTGCTGACAAAACTTGGCAGCAAAGGAAATGTCCTTCAGCCTGTGAGAGAACAGACAATGCTACATCCAGATGCTAAAAAGAAACAAGTTATCAAGCCATGAGAAGATGAGAAGGGGACTTGGATCTGCATGTAGAGGAAGGGAATCTGACAACCCCGGGCTGGCAAGGATGTGGAAAAAAAGGAAACGTATTTGGTGCTGGAGGGAGTAAGAACCAGGGCAACCACTGTGCAAATCAGTGTGAAGGTTCCTCAGAAAACTAAAAATAGAAATATCACCTGGCCCAGCCATACTGCTCTTGAACACACCGTATTAGAACATTATTACACAAACTTTTACAACTCAGAATACTTACAAAACTGTCACATGACCAGCTTTACCAGTGACTCCTTGAATCATCATGGCACAGAAATGCTTGCTCATCCATTTTTACAGCTGCGCTGCTCACAGGAGATGAAAATGAAACCAGCCTGGAGATCCAGCCACAGAAGAATAGAGAATGTGACCCACATACACAGTGATGCTTCCTGCAGCCACAAAGAAACCAAAATAATGACATTTGCAGGACAAAGGGTTGCAACTGGAAATAACTTTGTTAAACGAACTAAACCAGACTCAAGAGACACAAATGCGGCATGTTTCCTGTCACATGACGAACCTAGTTTTACAACCGTGCCCGAGCTCGTGTATATGGGACACATAGAGCTAGAATGAGATTGTGAGGCGGAAGGGAGCCATCCTAAAGGCATAGAAAGTGCCATGGAACACTTGTGACAAAGTAGAATGTAGACTCCGAAGGAAGGGAACTAGCCAGAGTGAAGATGGGGTTGAAGAGAGGACAGTGAAGGAGGAGAAAGAGTGAGGGAAACAAGCGGAATGTCAGGTGTATATGAGGACACTGTGATGAAAGGCATTGCTTCGTTTTCAAACCCAAAAAGTTAATAAGAAAGAAAATGGAGTGGGGGGGGGCAATCTGAAAGGTTCAAAAATGGTTGTAAGACCGGTGGCTGCCAAGAGTTCAAAGGGATGGGAGGGAGAAGCAGGAAGAAGACATATATTAACGACGTTATCTGTATTTTGAAGTATGTGTAAGAGCTAGCAAGCAGTACGCTTAAGTGATTGGCCAAGCAGTGCTTTACTTAGTAAAGTTTTGTGTAATTATTTTGGGTCTCAGCAGCCAGGAACAAACAATCAGCCTCCACTAACAGGGTAGTGAGGTGCTAATGTCCACGCCCAAGGCCACTGAAGAACTCCACTCAGAACAATCACTAGACTCTGGGCCTCCCTTGCTCTCCCCTGAAAGACTTTCTCTTTAGAGCCCACTGATGCTCTTAACTAAGAGTACTGACCAATTTCAGCAAAGAAACATGTCAGAGAACTTATAGTAGTTTGTAGTTTGTTTGCCTTTATGCTGTTGGGGAAAAAAAAGATCCAGCCCCTCAATTCTTTCAATGTTTTCAGCTTTTTAGTTAGATGCTTACTTTACCGATATCCCTGGTACTGCTCTGAGCTTATGCTCTTTCATAATTTTTTTTTCTGTGATTTTAGTGGGGCCTCAAGAAAGGCAATGAATGTTTGTGCTTAATTCAAAACTAATATGAAATCATTTCCATGTGTTTACTCCAAAGAATTGTATTTTAACAATGTACTTAAACAGGGTTATCTATAAATGATAGATAAATAGAGTTAGAGGTGACTTCCCTTCTGTGGAGAAATGTATCTCAGTTTTTTTTTTAATTGTTTTTGCTTTGTTTTTAGATGTGTCTCACTTTGTAGATAATGCCAGCCTAGAATTCATAGCAACACTCCTGACCCAGCTACCTCATTATCTTCAGGTAGTTCATCTGATGTTTATATGGCAATGTTTTAGGGAATGTTAGCATGAACTATATCTTTTCAGAAACAGTGATCTCAAGAGTTCAGTTCCAGAAGACGGACAGAACCTTGGGCTGCACCAGGAATCACCCAGCTGGCAATCGGCATTTCCTGGAGGGTTGAGAGTGACAACTACCGAAGGTGGCCAGGCAATGGTGTCGCATACCTTTAATCCTAACATTTGGGAGGCAGAGGCAGGTGGATCTCTGTGAGTTTGAAGCCAGCCTAATTTACAGAGTGAGTTCCAAGACAGCCAGAGAAACCCTGTCTCACAAAAAAAAAAAAAAAAAAAAAAAAGTGAGAAAACCGATCGAGGCATTACCAGCAATGGCATACTAAACCGATTACAGATCCCGAAAGGAATTTATAAACAGGTCAAGGGCATTGTTCTACCAAGGACAGTCCCAGACAAACAGGAAGAGGAAATAGAGGAAGTTCATTGGATAGGTTGGGAGTAACATGAGAAAAGACATGTCAACAGTGTGGAATTCACTCTGAAGGAAGCAACCGTTCACAGGGAAGGCTATTAGTCTTCTTTTCTATTGTTTTTCAATATTTGTTGGGTTTTTGGTTTTGTTTTCCTTATTGAAGAACATTAGTACATACTCCTTGTCAATTAATTTAGCAACAGAGATTGTTATAAGAAGCAAAATTATTGCTTCCTCAGTGATTCTTTGAGCATTTGGGAAAGTGGACGTTCTTGAGATCATCAGTGCCTTCTGCCTAGGGAAAGATGCCCAGTGTCTGGTTGCACCTGGAAGTGCGGCCTGGCAGGGAGGCAGTTTCTTCCCAGCTCCAATTCCGAGTCTGCTGCTGTGGGCAAGTTCATAGTACAACACCTTGATGGCTCCCGTGTCTTTGTAACAGTAGAGTTCCTTTGTGTCCTCCAGGAGCAAGAGGAGTAATTAAGGGGCCAAAATCCTTCTTCTCTTACCCCAAAGTGAAACAGTTAGGTGTTGAGCACTTAGGGATCCCAAGCTGCCCTCGTGTGGTGAGATCAAGTCCACCTAGAGGATTGCTCGTGAGCTTGTGGCTGAATAGACTAAGACCTTAGCTCAGATAAAACCAATCACCACTGTTTCCAGTAACTGTTTGCATACGGTAAGACGTGGGGTATTTTTCTTCCACCTTTTAGCCACCGCATATTCACTGCTGCACTTTCATAAGCAAGTATCATAATTATAAATATAATACTGTTACTTGCCTTTTTAAAATTGGCATATCAAGTAATGGGTATAATTACTATACTTTCATATATACTTTGTTTTTGCTACTTCTTCCCCATCTCCACTCCCAGCCTCGTCTTCTCTTCCCAGGTGCCACCATCACCACCCATCTCCTGTTTGCTTTTAACATAATAGTTTTTAAGAGCATAAATCATTTTGCGTTGCAATATTTCTAATTTTTCAGCATTCTGTGATTTAGTCTAGTCAGGAAATATCAATACACAGTATGTTATTGATGCTTTGTCAACATGTAGGTCATCATTATGTGTGAAAATAAATCCATTAATATATATGCCATTTTTGAGTGGAACTTTTATCAAATAAATTAACTTTGTCTTGGGCATTGACAAACTGCTTTCCTCAGATTTCAGCTTCTGAAGCACCACGCAATAATCGCCTATTCACAAAGAACACCAGTCCTTTTCTTTAAGATAGGCTTTTGCTCACAGCCTCGAGGGCAGAGCACTATTTATAGCTGTCCATGCAAACTGGTCATGAAAGAATGGTATTGTCGGTTAGTTTAATCGGTTCCCTGCAGAATTCAGTCATGAACTTACACCTGAACTTTGAAATATTACTTTATCATTTATGTGGAATGGTATTTTTTTTCCACCATTTGGTGGAATATCTGTGGATTCTAATGTAGACTTTGTTCAAGAGTAAAACCTAAATGAAAAACACAGAGCCGAAACAAAACACTCCGATAAAGTTTCTACCAAGTGTTGGATCCAGAGGAATTAAGAAATAGACCTGTTATCACTCATGATGGACTGATGAAGAAGTCATATGGAAAAGATCAATCATAACAATAGCTTCATTAAACCCTGAAAGGCCACTTTTGGTGGGGACAAGGAGATGCTTAGCCATTGGTATCCATAACTAAGTCAAAAGACATCATCTGTTAACACAGGTTTCCACACTCGATGTCATAATGAAGAAAAACGCAGATAGCTTGTAAAGCCCAGGATGAAAAGAATAGTGGGGAGTGACGTTGTCCACGTGAAGTCACGAGTGCACTTCGCCCTCCGCCTGGATCCTGAAGTTTCTTTCACATTCTTCTTGAGGACCCAAAATACTCTGAAGCCCAATACCTCATGCAGCCTGTTCCCTCCTGCTGCCCAATGGGGAAAAGACTAAGAAAATGCCCTCCATCCTCCATGCCTTCCCTCAGGCCTCACTTCTGCGGACCAGAGACAAAATTCTGGATAACTTCCTGGGAGAGTCCTCCTCTTGTCTTCAGCACTGTCCGTGTGGTCCCGTTGAAGATTTTCTACCATCTCTTTGAGAAAAGGAAGACAAACTCCACACGACCATTTCAACACTCCAGGCGAAACTTGGTTCTGTCTTGCCTGCATGCGTTTGCATCTGCTCTGCCGTCCTCACCACTCTGGCGTGCTCTGTCTCACATCTCTCCGTGGACAGACCCGACATGTTTCAGTAGTCATGGGATCCAGTCACTGTGCCGACTTCTTGAACGCTAAGGAACTCTAGAAAGCAACCCCGGTAAGGTTTTCTGGAACTTCCAGCCGTAAGAGTGGGGAGATACATTTAAAAAAGAAAAAGAAAATCACCCAGTGCTAAATTTTACACTGTGGTAAACACTGTGTCCAAAATGTTGAAAACCAAATGTATAATAAAGATACTCATTAATCTCTGCCCAAACAGGGACTGTGTTCCAGGGAAGTCAAAACCTATAGGCAAGAGGAAGAAAAAGGAACGTTCTAGATAAAAGGAAGTGCATGCATTGGTTCCATGACAACACACTCAGTGAATGACCTAGAAGCCCGGGCACAGCAGCCCAGCACTATGCCTGACTCCCAGGTGATGCACTCAGGCCTGGAGCCAACAGCCATGACATGTTCCAGTTTTCTCTCTTCCAAGAAGCCTGGGAGCCTTTACCACACAGAAACTTCAGGCCGCAGCCAGTCAGGATTGGGGGAACACACTGTACCTTGTACTGACCCAACATGTCCTTCATACAGCTCCAGGGACTCAAGTGTGGCATCAGCAAGGGTCCTGGATGTACATTGTGGTGCAGTATCCCAGGCAGACTGGGGGGGGGGGTCGATTTTTACTCATAAGCAAAAGAAGAGAGAATAACAAACACTGTTTCTAGAGCTGCAATGGATTAACTCTCTGAAGGTGATACAGGACAAGACCTTTCATAAAGAAGAGTATCTGACCTGTTGCGACTCCTTAGGGAACAATAGTCCATTGTCTTGTGTACCACACTTACATTGTCCATTCATCAGCTCATGGGCAGTGTCTGTTTCCTGGTTTACTGTGAACAGGGTGGCAATGAGCATGGATGAGCGAGTAGAAAGAGAGAGCCCTTTTGATATATCCTTAAGTGTGGTTCGCTGGATCTTAGGTTTATTTTCAGCTTTTTGAGGAACCTCCACACTGGACAGGGTGGGTAATGGGGGAGGGAGAGACTGGTTCTAGAGCTCTCTCTCTAACCAGGGTTCTCCCTCGATAGGTCTTTCTACCAGCTTAGCAACTATTGCTTCAGTAGCCAGTTACCTCTTCTCCAAACCAAAGATAAAATCATCTTTGATGCAGTTAGGATGCATTCATTAAATAATCACGTCAGAAATATCCTTCATAGCAGCTCATGCACAATACCACAGCCTTAAAAGGAACAAGTGGCTATTATTTTAAGTTCACATATAAAATGAGGCTTAAATGGTTTAAATACCTTGATAAATGTACAAGCAAATATGCTGGTAAGGAACATCAGTAATGGCTCAGTGGCTCATTCCTCATGTTAAAACCTGGGATAAACAAATCATGTTGGCAAGAATTCTGGCCTACCTGGTCATGGAGAACCCCAGGACCCTCGCCATCTCATAGCATACTGCCCTCATTTGCAGGGTCAAAATTGACTTTTGTGGAAGAGAAAGAGCAGAAAGAGCCTGGAGAAAGCAGGCTTACCACTGTTGGAAGGTTTTAGCACGACGGGAATATCTAACTTCTCTGATTCCACATTCCTGTTACGAAGGGATTCTGCAAAATGGAGCACCTGTATGTGAACCCATTACTATGGAAAAGGCAGAGAAAAGACTGGACAGTTTGATACAAGTAATATTAGAACGCTGTCCCTATGGTCTAAGATACCAGCAGCTCTCATCTGAGCTATTCACCTAACCCTGTGGGTCTCCAAGCAAATCTCAGTAGAGCATCCCTAGTGTAACATTCAAAGTAAGTCTGTATAATGAGAGCCCAGCTGTTTATGCTTTGGTTCCAATCCCTGCCACGGCCTCTCTCCTCATCCAGACCCAAGCTGAAATCTTGCCATTGCTGAAGAGCCCCGCCTGGTCCTGTTTTAATGGCTTCCAAGACCCCATTTTTCTCGTCCCCCTACTGCCCACCCTTCCCCAGCCACACTGAGCATTCTGCTCTTTCTTTGGGAGGCTAAGCAAGTCTCCCACCTGCAGCTTTTGTATTTGATTTGACATAAAGAAAGCAGCTAAAAGAACCTCCAAAAAGTACTGCAGGCAGAGCAACAGCTTACCTCCGGCCCACACACATTTCAACCCCGGGTGTTTGCAGATGACAACATCAGATCCCAATGTGAGAAGGTTGAACATTCATGGCTTAGCATGAAAGGGAGGAGAACAAGTAAATGACCAAAAGATACTGGTGAGGGGCAGAATAAGGGGAGCACAGTGAGGGAGGCAGTGGGTGATGAGGATTTAGAGATAAGCAGGGACCATTCTTTTACTACAAGGCGTTGTAAGACAATGCAAGGACCCTGGATTGCAGAGTTCAATGCCCAGAAGCCACTGGAACTTTTCAGAGTTTTGTCTTATTTCAATTGTAAAGGTTATATAGACAGTGAACTATAGACCACTAGCCCAGAGGCAAGAAAATAAATTAAGATGTCTTGCTCTATCCCACTCAAACATCCCCACTTGCTCCAATGCCTTTCACTTGTCTTCTCGTTGTTCTCAGATGTCACCTAGTCCACGAATAAATTCTTCAGTGAATGCAGTATGTTTTATCATATTTTAATATGTCCAGCAAGCATTTAGTGAACACTCGAAGCAGTATTTTCAAGGTACTAGGCTATATTTGACACAAATGTTACTGAGGCATTTTCCCTATATTGAAGAAGTGTTAGTAGTTTATTGAAGATGTTCCACCTATAAAGAAGACCCAACAAAGAAGTGCTAAGCTCCGTGAGTTACCATAAAATTCTGTGAGAAGTTCAAAGGAATGAATAACTCCCACATGTAAAAAATCAAGTATGTATATTTTGTGATGATCTGTCTTGATTGTTAACTTGATTAGGTCTAGGTCGGGGGCCAAGTATGAGACATGCCTCTGGATGGGTTTATGAGGACATTTCTAGGAAAAACCTCCCTAGAATGGCTGGCACCTTCTCTCAAAAGCCCAGCTATAAGGAGATCTGATAATGACTGCCAGCCCTTTAGAAATGCTGAGAACCATAACTGGCCATTCCTAACACAAGGCTCAATGCCTCTACAGTCTCATTCTGATACAAGGGTGCTGTCGTGATGTTTTACTCTTCTGGCTTTTGGGGGTGCCCACCACCAGCTCCCAAATAAATCACACACGGAGGCTTATTCTTAGTTATGAACGCCCAGCCTTAGCTTGGCTTGTTTTTTTGCCAGGTTCTCTTAACTTAGATTATTCTTAATGACCTTTTGCCTCTGGGCTTTTTCCTCTTCTGTAAATGTTCCTTTCACTCTTCCTCTGTGGCTGGCTGTGTAGCTGCATGGCTGGCCCCTGACACCCTCCTTCCCTCATTCTCTTGTTGTGCCTTCTCATCCTTGTTCCTCCTTCTATTTATACTCTCTGCCTGCCAGCCCCTCCTATCCTTGCTCCTACCTCACTATTGGCTGTTCAGTTCTTTATTAGGACCATTAGGTGTTTTAGACAGGCAAAGAATCGCGGCTTCATAGAGTTAAACAAATGCAACATAAACAAAAGTCACACACCTTAAAATAATATTCCCCAACACAAGGGCCTGGAGGATTCTTGGAGAGCCTTCAGTGTTCAGAAGTCTTCCCAAAAAGTCCTTTACACCCCTATTGCTTTATAACTCTCAATAATAATACTAAGCACCTTCTTGCTAGGGTCTGACCCAGCTCAGCGCCCTGAGATAGTGGAATGGAGCTTTAGCATCTCAAGAGTGAATTGCATATCTGAATCAGGGAGAACAGATGCCAGCACTGGGACTGAGACAGGTGGAAGAGCACCAGAGGGTTCTAGAATAGATAGCAGATAAAACTTTACCAGGTAATCCAAGCTGAGATAAAAGGCAGATAGGAGAGTAACAGACAATCCACTTTTTATTCCAAGTCTCCATTGTTCTATATTTTACTTCTAGGCTGATCACAGTCTAGAGCCATGTGCGGGATGATGTGACTCCTCCAATCTAGGGGTGTGTGCCGGGTTGGTATGACTCCACCAGTCCAGAGCTGTGGGCCAGGATAGTGTGAATCACTCTTCAGGGATTCAGTCTTACTATGAATTTACATTTAAGATTTAGATGCAAAGTGTGAAATTGAAATGAAACTTGTTCAGCCTTAAGAAAAGCTGTTTCATCCATGGAGATTTTGTATTAAGAGACTTCTAATAGTTTTTCTTTCTTCTCTAGCAATCTGTTTGTTTTTATCAATCTAATTTCCCTTCCTGACTATTTTTTGCATTGACGTCTGTGATAGTCAGCATCTTCTGGGAACAAAATGAATAGGAAGATAATATTGTAAAGGAGATTTATTAGATTGGCTTGCATGACTCAGTAAGTATGGGCATCCATCTTTCCTGATTCAGATATGCTGCAATTCACCTTATGATAGTGGATAGAGAGAAATATAATAAAGCCGATTCAACTTACCTCAGAAAACTGAGTCAGGTCAGTGGTGAATATATAATGTGGAACTTTGCTGTGGACATTTGTTTGTTTGTTTGTTCAAAAACAGGACTTCTCTGTGTAACTGCCCTGACTGGCTTTGGAACTCACTTTGTAGACCAGGCTGGCCTCAAACTCACATAGGTCCACCTGCCTCTGCCTCCCAAGTGCTTCTGAGTCGAGCTAAAGGATGAAATCATGTTCTCCAACCTTCATGGGACTGGCTCAGGATGAAGTTCTGGCTGATAACCTAGGACCGACTGTTGATGAGCCTTTATTGACTGTGCATCAGGCAGAATAGGGTTCACAGACCTTTCACAACACACAGTCTGTTATTAGCATCTTCTATCTCGCTCATCTACATTGTTTCATAATTAATAGGACTGATTTCTTTGGCTGCTCTCACAGATCTGAGCCCTCAGCAAATGAGCCGTTCACCAGGACAGCTACCAGAGCCCTAGCCAAGACCTGTGGGCTGATGAGTGACCTCTAGACAGGGCCACCTCAGGGCAGGTTAAAGGGTGATCTTGGTTCGAACAAATACCACTTTCATCTGGCATCTGGGACACTAAGTTCTGAGGGGAAAGAGGAACAATGACCTGTTTCACCTCTGGCAATTGGAGCCAAGTAAGCAAGGGCAAATAGAATTGTACTCCTCTCTCTGCCCCTTCTGCCAGTTTTGGGTTTGCGTCCGTTCTCTGCGTTCAACGTCCATCACACTTCCATTGCTGCTGCTGCTGTTCTTACCTTCCCTAGCGTTCTGCCTTTGGTGTTGACTTCTTAACTTCTACCAGAGCACTACATGCGTAGCAGCATGGGGAACAGAAATATATGCTTCACAGTTCTGGAAGCTGGAAGATCAAGATGAAGATGCAGAAACCTGCTGAGGGCTACTTCCATTCCAAGAGGGTGCTTTGGACTGCATCCTTCTGCAGTGGTCTCACTTGTCAGAAAGTGGAGGAGTAAGAGGACAACCCTTTCTCTGTCGGACTCTCACAATCCACAACCTTGAGCCCAGTAGCAAGAGGACAACCCTTTCTCTGTTGGACTCTCACAATCCACAACCTTGAGCCCAGAAGCCTTACTACCTTTCCCAAGGTTCCAGCTTCCAGCTTTGTTGCACTTGGAACTTGGTCTCTGCTCATGGATTTGAACACACTTTTTAGGTCACAGCAGACACCAACGACATCCTACCAGTTTGACACCAAATTCTAATTCAGAGTGTGGATGTAGATAGCAGCGTAATTTTGAGAAGGCAGATCTGAGTTTCAGTTTCAAGACTAAGATGAGAGGAAGTTCAGAACCTAAGTCACTGAGTTGTCATGAGACGGTAAAAGAAGGTTAGTGGTCATTATAGCGATTACTAAAGGAAGTGTGTGAAAGAGACCCCTGGGAAGGAAAGTTCCTGGAGTTCTATGTGTAGTAAAGAGGTGTGGGGTGGGTCTCTGTGAGCATGCTAAGGGAGTACAAAGTTTTGGGGGAGGGCAAGCAGGTCCACAGACATGTCCCACTAGACAAGAAAGAATCTTCACATAATCCAGTGAGTGTCCAGTTTCCACACAGCAGTTTCTGCTTTCAACTGGTTAGAACCAGTTAGCTAAAGCACGGCCTGGGCTTTCAGTGTTTCCTACACAGGTGCTGACTGAAGCAGGGAAGGATTCCTTTCAGAGGATGGAATTATTCATTCCTGACTGGCATCTAGAATATTGGTACCTGATATACCCCTAGAAAATATTAACTTTTAATATTTGTTAATAAATATTCCTCATCCTGTGCTCTCACACCATCTCAGAGATTTTGTTCTTAAATTCTTCTTCTTCTTCTCTCTCTCTCTCTCTCTCTCTCTCTCTCTCTCTCTCTCTTTCTCCTCTCTCCTCCCTCCCTCCTAGATAGTTCTTTTCAGAATTCTAGAACTTCCATATACAAAGGCTTGTCTTTGATTTAGTAAAGTCAAAGATGGAACATAGATGTATAATTATTTTTTTAAAAAAATCAGTCAGCTATCTAAAATATGACATTAAAGCTGTATCAACATCCCCTACCCACAAAAATCTCAAGGTGATAAAAATGTCAGTAAAAATAGTGCTTCTATGCTGTGGGACAATGGTCTTATACCCTGTAAAGATTTGTCACATGTGCTGGTTTAATAAAACGCTGATTAGTCAGTAGCCAGGCAGGAAATATAGGCAGGGAGATAAGAACAGGAGAATTCTGGGAAGAGGAAAGGCTCAGTCTGTAGTCGTCACCCAGACTCAGAGGACACAAGATGAGAATGCCTCATTGATAAAAGGGACCAAGCCACATGGCTAACACAGATAAGAATTATGGGCTAATGTAAGATGTAAGAATTAGTTATCTTTGGGACTGAATGGCTGTGGGACAGGGTGGTACAGAAACCTCTGTCAACACATCTACAGCCATGTTTCAATGGTTTGGGTGAGGCTTAGCTATGAGGACTGGAAATGTGGTCCTCAGGGTGGCCATGTGAGAGGTGGCAGAACCTTCTTAACAGGCAGGGCGGGTGTATGAGAGGTGGTCACACACTGAAGGTGTGACTCTCAGAGAACATCAATGCTGGTGTCACGTAATGAGTTCTCGTGAATGTGACTTATCATAAAAATACCCAGACAGGTCTTCTCCTATGTACTGACTTAAATGGCTTACTGTCTCATCGTGTCATCCTTCCCTCCCATATGACCTGCACGGCAATGCTGACACCATGTAATCTGGCTCATCAGCCCCACTAAAAGCCAAACAAGCATGGCTATCTGATCCTGGACTTGCAGGCTCTAAATCTGTGTACTAAAGAAAAGTCTTTTCTTCATAAAGTACCCAGATTTGCCCAACTTGTTATAGCAACAGGAAACAAACTTTTACATGCTCTGTAAGATATCATGAGAGAATTCCTTAAGAAATGCATCTTTTCTTACAGGTACTAAATAGAGATCTGTTGACAGAAGTTTCTGTCCCACCTGGTCCTGCAGTCATTCAGACCCAAGGAAATACAGAGGCCTACATTAATTATAACCTGATTGACCTATTAGCTCAGGCTTCTTATTAACTATTTTTTTAATTGATATTTATTGAGCTCTACATTTTTCTCTGCTTCCCTCCCTACCTCTCCCCTTCAACCCTCCCCCAAGGTACCCATGTTCCCAATTAACTCAGGAGATCTTGTCTTTTTCTACTTTCTACTTCCTCTGTAGATTAGATCTATGTAAGTCTCTCTTAGTGTCCTCATTGTTGTCTAAGTTCTCTGGGATTGTGGTTTGTAGGCTGGCTTTCTTTGCTTTATGTTTAAAAACCACCTATGAGTGAATACATGTGATAATTGCCTTTATGTGTCTGGGTTACCTCACTCAAAACAATGTTCTCTAGCTCCATCCATTTTCCTGCAAAATTCAAGCTGTTGTTATTTTTTCTGCTGTGTAGTATACTCCATTGTATAAATGTACCACATTTTTCTTATCCATTCTTCAGTCGAGAGACATTTAGGTTGTTTCCAGGTTCTGGCTATGACAAACAAAGCTGCTATGAAATAGTTGAGCACATGTCTTTGTGGCATGATTGAGAATCCTTTGGATATATACCCAAAAGTGGTATTACTGGGTCTTGAGGAAGGTTGTTTCCTAATTTTCTGAGAAATTGCCACACTGACATCCAAAGGGGTTGTACCAGCTTGCATTCCCACCAGCAATGCAAACGTGTTCCCTTTACCCCACAACCTCTCCAGCATAAGTTGTCATCAGTGTTTTTGATTTTTGCCATTCTTACAGGTGTAAGATGGACTCTCAGAGTTATTTTGATTTGCATTTCTCTGATGATTAAAGTTGTTGAACATTTCCTTAAGTGTCTTTCATCCATTTTAGATTCCTCTCTTGTGAGTTTGTAGTGATGAGGTGAGGAAGCCTGCTTTTTGTCCTGCCCAGCTTCCAGCTACCTGGCTAGCTTATGTCCCGAAATAATGACATGGAAACTGTATTCTTTTAAACACTGCTTGGCCCATTAGCTCTAGCCTCTTACTAGCTAACTCTCACATCTTGATTAACCCATTTCTATTAATGTGTGTAGCACCACAAGGTGGCTTACCCGGAAGATTCTAACCTGCTTCCATCTCAGAGAGGAGAGCTATGGCGTCTGCCTCACTACCTTCTACCCATTATCCTGTTCTGTTTTCCCTGCCTACCTAATTTTCTGTCCTATCAAAAAGCCAAGGCAGTTTCTTTATTAACCAATGAAAGTAACACATAGACAGATGATCCTCCTCCATCAAGAATTCTCTGTTCAGGTCTGTACTCCATTTTTTTAATTGGATTATGTGATCATTTGGTGTCCAATTTCTTGAGTTCTTTGTATATTTTGGAGATCAGACCTCTGATTGATGTGGGGTTAGTGAAAAATCTTTTCCCATTCTATAGGCTGTCGTTTTGTCTTGTTGACTGTGTCCTTTGCTTTACAGAAGCTTTTCAGATTCAGGAGGTCCCATTTATTAATTGTTTCTCTCAGTGTCTGTGCTGCTGGGGTTATATTTAGGAAGTGGTTCCCTGTGCCAATGTGTTCAAGTGTACTTCCCACTTTCTCTTTTATAAGGTTCAGTGTGGCTGACTTTATGTTGAGGTCTTTGGTCCATTTGGACTTGAGTTTTGTGCATGGTGATAGATATGGGTCTATTTTCATTTTTCTACATGTTGATATCCAGTTATGCCAGTACCATTTGTTAAATATGCTTTCTTTTTCCATTTGATATTTTTTGCTTCTTTATCAAAGATCAGGTGTTCGAAGATGTGTCAATTGATATCCAGGTCTTCTATTTGGTTCCATTGGTCCTCCTCTCTGTTCTTATGCAATACCAGGTTGTTTTCTGTACTGTAGCTCTGTAGTATAGTTTGAAGTCAGGGATTGTGATGCCTCCAGAAGTTCTTTTATTGTACAGGATTGTTTTGGCTATCCTGGGTTTTTTGCTTTTGCAAATGAAGTTGAGTACCATTCTTTTGAGGTCTTTGAAGAATTTTGCTGGGATTTTGATGGGCATTGCACTGAATCTGTAGATTGCTTCAGTAAGATTGTCATTTTTCCTATATTAATTCTGCCTACCCAAGAGCATGGGATGTCTTTCCACTTTCTGGTGTCTTTTTCAATTTCTTTCTTCAAAGATTTAAAGTTTTTGTCATACAAGTCTTCCACATGTTTGGTTAGAATTATTCCTAGATATTTTATGCTATTTGTGGCTATTGTGAAGGGTGTTGTTTCTCTGATTTCTTCCCCAGCCTTTTTTATCATCTGTGTACAGGAGAGCTACTGATTTTTTTTTAGTTAATCTTGTATCCTGCTATATTGCTGAAAGTGTTTATGAGCTGTAGAAATTTCTTTGTAGAATTTTTGGGATCATTTACATAAACTATCATATCATCAGCAAACAGTGAGAGTTTGACTTCTTCTTTTCCAATTTGTATCCCTCCTTTTTGTTGTCTTATTGCTCTAGCTAGGACTTCAAGAACTATATTGAATAGATATGGAGAGAGTAGACAACCTTGTCTCATTTCTGATTTCAGTGTAATTGCTGGGAGTTTCTCTCCATTTAGTTTGATGTTGGCTGTTGGCTTGCTGTATATTGCCTTAATTATGTTTAGGTATGTTCTTTGTATCCCTGTTATCTCCAAGACCTTAATCATGAAGGAATGTTGTATTTTGTCAAGGCCTTTTCAGTATCTAATGAGATGATCATGTGGTTTTTATTTTTCAGCTTGTTTATATGGTGAATTACATTAAAGGATTTTCATATATTGAACCATCACTGCACCTCTGAGTTAAAACCAACTTGATCATGGTGGATGACGGTTCTGATGTGTTCTTGGATTAGATTTGCCAGTATTTAATTTAATATTTTTGTATTAATGTTCACGAGTGAGATTGGTCTGCAATTCTCTTTCTTAGTATTGTCTTTCTGTGGTTTGGGTATCAGGGTAGTTGTAGCCTCATTAATAGTGTTTGGCAATGTTCCTCTGTTTCTATTGTGTGGAATAATTTGAAGAGTATTGGTATTAGTTCTTCTTTGAAAGTCTTGTAGAATTCTGAGCTGAAACCATCTGGTCCTGGGCTTTTTTTGGTTGGGAGACTTTTGATGACTGTTTCTATTTCTTTGGCAGTTATAGGTCTGTTTAATTTGCTTATCTGGTCTTGATTTAATTTTGGTAAGTGATATTTATCCAGAAAATTGTCCGTTTCCTTTAAGTTTTTCAATTTTGTGGAGTACAGGTTTTCGAAATATGACCTGATGATTCTCCCTATTTCCTCCATGTCTGATGTTATGTCCCCCTTTTCATTTCAGGTTTTGTTAATT